TGACATGACCCGTGTCAGGGTTCCTGAACCAAGAATTCAAGAATTAAATTTCCAAAAGTCCAACACGGGTACCCGTGTTCGGTTGCGACGTTGATTTCAGTATTTCGGGTTATTTTGTTCATTAGTTGGCTTGTTGAGGGTGTTTTGGGTATTTCCAACCTACCTAAATGAGTTTTTTCTATATAGAGGAGTTTCCATGATGAATAGTGAGGACTTTGGACTGGAGAAGATTAGGAATAATAAAGATTGGTGCTTTCAAGAGATTTTGAGTTGGAGATTCCTTTATGAGCGATAGCAATTGATGATCGAAGAATTCATACCTTTTGTAAAGTCTAATTTTATTATTGCTTTTAGTTTTAACACTATGAGAGGCTAAACCCCCCAATGCTTGGGGTTGTCCCTGATTTGCAAGTGTAATAATTTTGAATTCTTTTTTTTTATACAATAGTTTCTTTTCAACTTAATTGTTCAATGTTCTCATGCTTTTCCTATCAGGCCAATAGGGACAGATTCATGGTTAACAATTAGGGTTGTATCGCCATTGTTAAGGTTTTTGAACGATTAGACTATAGTAGATATCACCTAGGGCTAGGGATACCCTATAGGTTAACGGTAAAATCTTGATAAAATAAATGGTTGGTTTCATCATAATTCTTTAAGGACTTAGGTATTAGGATGAAGGACCAAAGGCTTTCCCACTAAGGACTTAGGGGAAAACAAACTAAATATTCGGTAGTTGAAGGTAATGAACTTGTTGAAGAAATCAAGAGTAAAGGTTATTACAGGGGAAAATCACACACTTACCCCTAGCATGCTCCTCATATTAGTGAAAAGACAATTTATATTTTGTTATTGGTTAAGTGACAATTTTCAAAACCAAAACCTCAAATTAAGTTTTTGTTTGATTGAACGTGAATTGAACTCGATAATTATACGCAGTCCTTGAGATTGATACTTTGGGATTTTCCATTATTACTATATTAGCAAATTAGTACACTTGTTAATTTACCAATCGCACGCCTTATTGAGTTCTGTGAAGTTGACACACATACGCCACATCATTGTCTTCTTTTTAACCATAACCACATTGGCCATCCAGGTAGGATATTTGATTTCATTATGAAGTTGGCGTCGAGCAGTTTCTCGGCCTCATCTTTTATAGCCTTCTTCTTTTCTTCTCCACCTTTCCTCTTTCTCTGGTATACTGGCTTCGTATCAGGATTTAATGCCACGTGATGACACATGAAATTGGGATATTTTCCTTCAACAGCTTCACAATCTCCGCCTCTTCCTCCTGAGAAAGATTGCCTTCGATATAAGTTATTTCAGAGGGTGTGGTTCCGATCTGGAATTTATTTTTCTCGTCATGAGGAAAAATGTTGTCTTATGATGAATCATCTTGTGGGTCTATATCGACCATGTTGACTTTCGGCTCATTGGAGTACCCGGGCTCTTTGGGTTGCACCTTCTTCTTTAACTTCATGATATCTTTATAACATTTCCTTGCCAATCCTTGGTAACCTTTAACCACCCCGACCCGGCCATCCCCCAAAGGGTACTTCATAGTGAGGTATAGGGTGGAGAGAGAAACCTCTAACGAATTAAAGGAAAGTCTCCATATGCTGATGATATAGGGTGAAGCGGCATTGACAATCAAGTATCTCACTCTGACTGTTATAGCATTCGTGCCACTTCCAAAGGTAGTCAGTACCGATAGATGTCCCAATACTTGCACCTGTTCTCCTGAGAATATTACTAAAGTACCGTTGAAGGGTAATAGCTCGACTGTGTCAAACTCAATTCCCTTAAAGGCTTCCCAATAGAGTACATCAGCTGAACTATTGGGATCTACCAACACCCTTTTCACTCTCCAATCTCTGATTTGCACCTTAATGACCATGGGATCATTCTCATGGGCCATAATTCTGATAGCGTGCCTTTTGGATAAACTAAAAGGATTTAAATTCTGCTCACGTACCTTGGCTAAGTCTTCACACACAGGCATCACGGCACGAGCGTATTTCTTCCTAACCGAGTTGGTTTTTCTGCCACCAGCGATGGTGTTAAGGGTATGACGAGTTAATTTGGTCTCATGCATCTCCTCAGTACCCTTCCCCTTCTTTTAAGACGGTTCTTCCAAGTCGGCATCCTCTCACCGTGTATCTCTTTTCCCGGCTAGGGCTTTACCATCTTTTACATAAGTTAGCAGGTACCCCCTCTTTCTGAATGCCTCGATTTATTTCTTTAACTAGAGGCAATCATCATTTTAGTGTCCCCGGAGCCAGTGGTAACTGCACCAAGCCCTGGCACCCCTTCCCATCACAATATTGACCCTCTATGGACAAGGTGCTTATGGGATAAGGTTCAGATGCGCCACCTCTTGTAAAATTTCGCCTCTCTTCGTGTTCAGAGATGTCACCACGCAGTTTGGATCAAAGGACGTCAGTTCGGCCAATGAGTTGCGCGCTCCTAGGATGGCTTGAGATAGTGGTTGAGGCTCTAGGAGCTCCACTTCCGGATGTTCTTCTCCCAGGCTTTTAAGTTGTAAGTCAGCAACACTGTCCTGCAGAGTCTTGTTCTGCTGTCTTAGAGCTTCCACCATGGCTAACAATTGTGCCATGTCTGGGGGATCTCCTTCGGACGACATTCTAGTGAATGAGTGTTGAGGTGTGGGCTAGGATAATTTTACTAAGGCCCCACGGTGGGTGCCAATGTTCTTGCGTCGGCTTCCCCCTTGAAAGTAAGGAAAGCCACAAAAGTATATTTGTAGAATGATTGGGGATTTGGGAGCTACGTCGATGGTGCATATTGTCCCAAGAATAATGTCTTACTTATCCCTATTGCAGGAGCCCCTTTTTATAGTATTCCTTTTGCACCATCAAGAGACTCATTTAATGCGTGACTCTTGGGGTTCCCAATTGCATAATTTGTCATTGTTTCCATGAATAATGGTGTTCATGGTTGTATAATGTTAGAGTAAATGCACCAACGGAGGTTACAACTATTAATGAGCGGAGTAGATGATCGGTTACAGGTAGATGGATCCCGACCAAGATTATTAGTTTTGTTGACAGTACATACGAGCTGCTACCCAAAGGTACGATGGTCGTCAGGTGTTATTAGATGAGTTGTATTCCCCTCCCGGGTACCTTTTACCAGTGTGTTGACCGCCGGTTTCACTATCTCTTCAGCCGATTTCACTACTAGGTCGAGACTGATATTTCTGGGATGTACAAGTACTTTAAAAATTTTCTAGTTTTTAGAGATAAGTGTTATTATTTTTCTGATTTTTGGTTAAGTGATGAAAACAATAAAGGCGAAAAAATAAAGAACTCAGAGGGATTATACTAGTTTCTCTCATAGTCCAAGAGTACGTCTAGTCCCCTTACAACATGTAATATGTTTTAATAGTTGTTAGAACTTTGTACAAGCCCAACCCTAGAGTTCTAGACACAAGGTTCTAACCAATCACTAAAGGCAAAACACCTTAAGATTTAACCATGTAGAAAAACAATCCTCTCCTTTTCCACTCTCTTGCTTCCAACAATTCTGGATAGCAACGTATCTACACCAATCAAGTAGAAAAAGAAAACAATCATTTCTTTTCAACTCTCTTGTTTCCAACAATCATAGACAGCAAGGTATATACACAAATCTAAATTTAATAAGAATTTTTAAGTTGTAAGATATTTATCAATTGCTAGAATTGATGTTCCCTTTCAAGTAAACAATTCACAATATGTTACACAAGTGTTCAGAATTAAGATGGTGAAATTTTTAGAGATGCAATGAAATTTAATGCAATAAGTTACACACAAATTTTTATGACACAAAACACTTGTTTGAAATTTGAGAGAAAATAAGTTTAAATTGAATTTAAAGAGATGTATTTTTGAAATCTGAAAGATTGTATATTGATCGATCAATGCAATGTTTGATGGTACGAAAACAAAATACATAGAATCATATTTTTCATGAAAAGGTGTCACTGCTTCGGTAGTAACCGATTAACACATTATCATAACCAGTTACAACTGAAGTGTTGCCTTGAAAATTCAAATTTTCGCATGTGTAACCTATTAACCAAAAGGTGTAATCGGTTACACCTGTTCAAAAATGTCACAAAATACATTTTTAGGTTCATGTAACCGGTTAACACAAATGTGTAACCAGTTACCACTATTATGATATTGAAAAATAATTATGAAAATGGATTGAATGCAATGTCATGGTAATTTAAAAGTGGTTACGCATATGTATGACTTTGTTAAGGAATTTGTTAGCACAAAATGTATATTATAACTTGAATTACAAATTGTACCTATTAAATGAAGATGAAAGATCCAAAGTTTAACTTGATGAAGTTTCTTATGAGACAAGTCTTGAAACATAGTTCTTTTGTCATGGTTCCTTTGGTCATCCTTTCTTGACACATACACATGGTAGTTGTCTTTATCAAAACATAGTGTTGGAGAAGCTTGACTTCACAATCTCCCCCTTTTGGATGATGACAATCATTAAAAGTTGACGTGCTTGAGTCTCTTGGAAAGTTTTATATACTCTTATATGAACTCTCCCCGTAACTTTGATAACCCCCTTGATTATTGCACTTTTTCATTCATAGAGAGTTAGGACAAATTCAGACACTTTTGTTGCTGCAAAAGTTAGATACAAAGCATACATAAAAACATGCATCTTCTCCCCTTTTGTCATTAGCAAAAAAAAGACGTGAAAAAGAAGTGAAAGATAATAAATATACACAAAACAATAGAGTTGCAAGAGAGACATAACACAACCCAATAATAATATAATCAAAATAGAAACATCACAACATTACTAAAACATTGTCTAAACATAAAAACAAAATTGAAATAACTTAGTCTTAAACATAACTAAACGATACCGAAATTAAAATGATACTACCTGACAACATGAAATAAAAAATCAATAAACGACACAAGATACACAAAAGATATTTAGTCACTATCTTTCTCCATTTCTTATTCCTCACTCTCTTTCACTTGAGCTTGGTTTTGTTTCCTAATTTTGATTAAAATCTCTACGCTGAGGTTTTGGAAACTGGTAGTCATGCGTTTCTCAAGAGAGCACATTTTGTTGTAGAGGAACTCGTTTGTATAACAACTGTAGGGAACCGGGGCCTCGTATGAAGAATATGGAACTTGATCTAGATGCTTGTAAAGACCATCTGTATGCTTGAAAATACGCATATTTTTGTCGGCCGCCTTAACACTGATTTCACAAACTTTTGAGGTCATCTCCTTACTTGGTTCTCTTTTCAAACTTATACCCTAGTATTACAGAATTTTGGTAACCAATCTACCATACATGAGTCCACAAGTTAGCCCTCTTTGATGTACCATGTGAAACATGATCATATAAGCCCAATTAACTATGATACGATTCTTCATAACAAAGAGGACTTACATTTCAATGTCAGTAATATGAGAATGGATAGAGTTCTTAGGAAACAATACATAAGCAATGAAATAATGAAACATTTTATCACTAACAGACAAATTTGAAGAGTAAAAGATAAGCGGTTTAATGCAGAAGGTTTCTTACTGAAGATTTCCTGTTCTGTTAAACAACATATGCTGAAATAGTACTGCAGCATCTCATATCCTTGCCAAACACGCATATATCCTAAACGGATATGCTCACCCTCAATTGGAACACCCAAATAGTTAACAAATTCTTCCATAGGTCACAAAATTTCTTTCCCTTTATCAAGTGAAGATACAATACCCTCATTCCTAATAGACAGATTTGCATAAAAATCGTTAACTAAGTCAAAGTAGACAGGTCCAAAATCAGTAATAAAATAAGTTATATGCTGAAAATGGAACAAATGTGGAAAATAAAAGCTTAAAGATGGAAAGGAAGAAATATTACCATACCTGGGATGAGTTAGAGGACGACTTATGAAGTTGAAGAGCAATCTCTTCTCTTTGAGTAATGGTTCCACTATTTCCAAGTTACCATCTGGAGCTTGGACAGAAGCACCTTCACCAATTTTTGCCTTGCCTCTTTCTTTTTTGGTGGGAGCCATTGAATGAGCTTGGAAGGATGAAAAAGTTAGGGTTTTTGTGAGTGGAGAAGTGATTTTCGGAATTAAGCTCTATGGAATGTTGTGGGTTTTGTTTTGAGAAGTGAAAATGATGTATAAAAGGATTTGGTGAGTGGGTAATTAATGGATTATGTTGGTAGTTGTTGAGCGATGACTGGGTCTTGATGGATTATTATTTACCAAGATAAGTTAGTGGAAGAAGATTTGACTAAGACATAAAAGCCATTAAAAGCTAATTAAAACTGTTTGAAAAAAATTAATTTTTTGCATTGAGTTGGGTAACCGGTTACATTTGGTTAATCGGTTACCTCCACGCGCTAAGCATAATTTTATAAAAGAATTGAAAATTTCGTAGATGTAATCAATTACACCTTTTGGTTAACTGATTATATGCAGTAAATTTTGAAAAACATCTTAAAACAAAGGCTTTATGGCATAAGAATGGACATATATAATCCCACAAAAAGCTATCTAACACATAAAGGACATGTATATATACCATAAAAACATATAATACAATAAAAATCATACTACTAGGAGGATTCACAAATGAAATTTTGAATAAACTAAAAAATGAAGTATGTTAACATGTACCTGAATTGATGAAATTGAGTAATGTTCTTTACATTAGGATTGTTGATAGGTCTTTCAATAATCATCATACATCATGCTCACCCAATATGCATAGTTCTCTTCGAATCTTGAAGAATGGTTCCTTTGCAAGCGGTTTTGTGAAAATGTCGGCTAATTGTTTATACTTATCCATGATGTCCCTTCAACGTCACCATTAAGAAAATGATCACGAAGAAAGTGATGTCGAATGTCTATGTGTTGGTTCTTGAGTGCATGGTTGGATCGCCGTCTGTGATTGAAGAGGGATTGAGGAGGGCCTCGTATCCAGGTGAGTCTTAGATAGAAGTCTAGCAAGAGTAGTGATTAAGTGATTGGGCCGTAAATTGGAGGTTTGCTATAGGGTCTATGAAGTGATATTATTTTAGTGGACTTATCCCCGGCTTGGATTCCCCCAGAGTAGGAAGGTTGTTTCGAACTGGGTTAATAATTCATTTGTGTTGTTTATGCTTTTCAATAGTTGTTTTTTAATTGTTTATATCTTGCTATAATATTTAAGTCAGATCAGATGTCTCAACATGTCAAAGGTTATCTGAGTTCAGTCAAACCAGAATTTCAAAAGTAATTCATCTTACCCATCATAGACATCTTGAATTCTCGTTGCATCATCAATGAAAATTCTTCACAAAGATCTTTATTTGTTGAACCGAATATGATGTCGTCAATGTAGACTTGAACCAATAAAGTATGACCTTTTTTTTCTTAATAAACAAAGTTTTATACATTTTACCTTTTTCAAATCTTCTTTCTCATAGAATGTTGCTAAGTCTATCATACCATGCTCTTGGTGCTTGCCTTAAGCCATAAAGAACTTTCTTCTACTTGAAGACATGTGAAGAATTCTTGAAGTATTCAAAATTAGGAGGTTGTTTAACATAAACTTCCTCAATGATGTATCCATTCAAGAAGGCGCTGTTGACATCTGTTCCAGTGTAGAACAAATATTCGTCCGGCTTACCAGGAGGTAACTAGGGAGAGCCTACCAGAGAGAGTTTATGAGTTGATTGGGGGATTTGGGAGTTACTACAATGATGTGTGTGTCCCAAGATGAATGTATTGCTTATCCTTCTATCGGGAGCCCCTTTATATAGTGAGTATCTTTGAATTCATCAAGATCCTCAGTAAATGAGGGTCTCTTGAGTTCCAAAATCGTGTAACCACTGCTGCCTCCATGAGTGAATATGACCAGTGTTGTGTAACATAGCATTGAATGCACTGTCGGCAGTTATAGGATTTAATGGGTCGGAAAGGTGATTGGTTACTAGCAGGCGCTACCCAATCACCTTTATCTTTGGAGTTGACGACGAGGGTGAGTTGCTACCCGGGCTTATGAGACATCTGGTGTCCCCTCAGCCGGGTCATACCCCGAGTATCTTCACCTCAACCATTTACCAGTTCATCATTATCTCTTTGTCGGTTACACTACCAGTAGGGCTTGTTATTTTCAGAATGTACATAAGCCCCCAGAGTTCAAGTCCTATCTTCGTGAGGACGCTGTATTTGGTCATGTAGTCACGGAAGGTAACTCAGGCGTTACCGGGGTGCTGCCTTTTTCTTGGCCCACGTGTCGCAAAATAAAGAGTCACCATTTTATCTTTCCTGAGGCAATGATGACTCCCACCTAAACTCATGTTCATTGGATGATGCTCTCCATGCCTAGTGTAATGCTCACTAAGCTCTATTAAAGGCCATATTTCCTTCTTTCCTTTTCTATCTTGGTAACTGCAGAAGACGATTTATCTTTGCAAAGAACATTTTTAGTCTCCTTCAAGCGTCCCTTCCTTTTCTAGGTATTTCCTCTTTTACTCCTTCCTTTTACATTTTTTCCTTTTTTGGACTATGGTCGTTTTGAGATAGTGTTAGGATTAGGGAAACGATGTGAAACCCTCTAATGCAGAAGAGATGATAGATTTATGGGATTAATGCATGCGAGAGATGAGCGATGCTCTAGGTCAGGAAGAGTTTAATTGGGTCACCCAAGAGGTCTATTGTTTTACCCTTTCTTCTTTGAGTGATTCTGACCTCGATTCTTCCTCCTCGGGTTCCGTAGAGCTTCTGATGGTCGCTTCTGCTCCTTTTGACACTGAAGTCATGGGTTACAAGAACAATGTACTCGGTGATACAGAGATTACCAAGATTAGGTTCTTGATGAGAGTCTCCTCGAATGGAGAGGAGAGAGATGTTATCCTGGAGTCGTGTGTCCCAAGGGATCGTGTGTGTGTGCTTAGTTGGAAGGATACTCATATATGGTTTTGGAGGATTTTCAGGTCCGTATACCCTTTTCCGACTATGACGTTGATGTCCTGAAGGCCATGAATGTTGTTCTCTTACAGCTTCTCCCCAACAGTTGGGGTTTTATATAGGCCTTCAAAATTGTTTGTGAGGCGATGAACATCATTCCTACTATCGGTATGTTCTTCTTTCTATGAGGTGAAGGGGGCCGAGAAGCTTTCATGGATTCAGGTCAATGGCCTTCCTCACTGAAGCTTCCTCCAAGTGTATACCTCTAATTACAAAGGTTTTAAGGATCGTTTTATGAAGGTGAAGTGTGGGTCGAGGTACCCCCAAGTGTTATATGCTTTGGGCGGTCAACCCTGTTTTCCCTTCTACTTGACTCGGGATCCTTCTCCCATATCTAGACTCACTTTTGAGAAGCTGAGCGACTTGAAAGTCTAGTCTTTAGTAGTTCTTGATTCCTTCCATATAATGAAGGTTAAAGACTTATTATCTCTATCCGTTGAACAAGTTCTCAATTTCCTTGGTAATGGCCTTTATTTTTGTTTAGACCATCGTTTATCTTTATGCAATGTTTTACATCATCTTTCCTTTGGTTTCAGATAAGATGACAGATCTTTTTGTGGTTGAGCAGAAGAGGTTTATGGTGGAAGCAAGGGAAGCCTAGAGGACTGTAGGCGGGTCCTTCATGATCAAGTCGGATGCATGCGGGTTGGAGACTCGAATGTCAAAGAAGTATAGAGGGGTAGGCTGTAAGGCTACTTCCAGCATGCTTGAGCCCTAAGCTTCCATCCGGGTTGTTCATGAGGAGGTGCAACAAAGAACTCCTAAGAGGATGAAAACCTTGATGAGTGACAAAGTCTACCAAGATGATATGGAGATTACTTCTCTAATGGAAGAGCCTGGGAACAATCATGCTTCTGAGGAATTTTAGTTCTTGTCCAAAGCTTTGACGGGTTTTATTTATTGTATGATCATCTCAATGCTACCGAGGACGTTAATAAGGTGAAGTCCATTGGTAAGTCAAAAGATGAAACATAATATTAGCTCCTACCTTATAAGGTGTGAATGTCTGAAGGATCATTCTAAGAAGTTATCCACTGCGGAGAAGGCTTTGGTGAAAGAGAAAGAGTGTTGAGAGACTCTGGAGTCTGAGAATAAGGCCACTCTCATCCAGCTTGATGAGCGATTGAAGGTAGAGAAGGCCACCAACAAAGAGCTAAAGGCTACTATTGCTGGTGATGAGGCTTTCGACCAAGAAAAATATCAAGTGTTATGCCTTCATCCAGGCTTGGACATATCAGAGATGGAATTTTTCAAGGT